GAGAAAGATGCGATAAGCAGCGGTATGACTGGTGAAGAACAGGATAGTACTGACCTACATGAAACATAATATGGTATATTTTATAAGAAATTGGTTCTATAAATTTGTATTGTTATATACAAAGCTTAATTTTATATCTTGATCATTTTGTTTGAGCTTAAATTACATTAACCATATTTCTGCAATGCATTTTTTATAAAATGTTTAAACAATAATTGGTTTGTATACAAAAACTAATTAATAATTGAGCGAACGGTTGGTAATGAAAGATAATAAATATATATATTTATATAATTTATAAAACCTTGAAGTAAAAATTAAAAGTTTATTTAGTCAACACTTACATTATTATTTTCTCTTAAGAACTGATTTTCAAATATATAGATATTGCAACAATAAGTGAAGTTTTCATAATTAGGCCATGTTTTTCTTAAAAAATTGAAGCAGTAATTTGGTGTTGAATATAATATGTCGATAATCCCTACACTACACCTGATTATGTAAGAAAATATTCCGGGTAAGCTCAGTATTGAGAGAAAGTTGTCTTTATTACACTTCGTCACTTTCTTCCTCTGAATCACTGCTCTCCACATTGATAATAATTTTATTTAGAACAGGAATGTTTTTCGCACATTCTTTTTCGATATTTTTTACGTGCTCTATTGCTTTCTTCCAGTTATCCCCAGAGATATTTTTAAATTCAGAATCTATTAGTTTCACGACATTGTTATAACATTTCCGATTTACATTTTTTTGTCTCGCATTATATTTTAGTTGAGACCATAACAACTCTATTGGATTTAAAATGCAGTAATATGGTGGTAATCTTAAAGTTGTATGTCCATTTTTACTTGCTACATCATCAATAATATATTTATCATCAATAATATATAAGTTGTCTAGAATGATATGATGCATTATCTAAAACAATAACACTGTTGTCTGCTAAATTTGGTAATAAGTTATTTTTAAATCACGATTCGAAAAGTTCACCCGTTATATCTTGATGATAGTCCAAACAACTGTCTTTAATGTCTTTTGCACTTAATAGTAAGACATCGGTTAAGCAACCGTCTTCCCTCCACAATGTAAAATGCATATTCGTTTGCCCCTGAAAGCTGGTACATTAACTTTGCACTTTACATTGTCATTACCCCAACCTTTTCCCCAATTGTTTCGTTAGTGTTAAACCACGTTTCATCTAAGTAATAATTTTTCTCCCGCTATTTCTGTACTCGTTTATCTTTTCCAAATATTCATTACGCCATTTAATTAAACGGGCACTTTCCATTATAGTATGTCGTTTATTGATTGTTTTATATTTAAAACCATTTGATAGTAAAAATTGTCTTAAAGTTGATTTACAGCAATTAATAATATTTTAGATTTTAATTCAGCTAAAATTTGGTAAAGTGTGGGTATAATACTACCTGCAAACATACTATAAATGGTTTTTGAAATGGGACCTAAAAGATGTTGCTCAATAGATCGATGTATTCCAAAGTCGCTCCTTTTTTGTCTCTTTGTAATGACCTTCTGTATAATTCGATATACAGTAGCACATGAAACTTTTGTTAAAGCCGCAATTTTTAAAACACTCTCGTACCGTTCCAATTCTTCACATAATCCATTAAATACAATTTCTTTACCATCTTTCGATAAATGTTTTTTTTTCTGGATTTTTAATACTTCCTCTACTTGGTCCAGCAATATTTTCAGGATTATTTGGTGGTAGAATTTTCTCATTTTCTTCAACAATTTCGACCTCATTATTCTCAACAATTTGTATTGCACTATTCTCCCATGGACGCCACATTTTTATTTACTTAATATTTTTCTGATCGTGAAATCGTCACTAATAAATGCGTGCTTTCTTTACAGAGTTTAAGCTAAAAATTATAATATGTATAACAATACCGAAAGCCACACCAGTCTTGTTATCAGTCGTTCAGAATTTCGTGGAAATTTAAAAACCTTGATCAGCACAGCAGGGCTGTGAAAAGAACCCGACAATCGAGTACGAGGAGTCTTAAACTCATAAACTTTTATTGAAAGGTATAAAAAGTGGCTTACATCGGCAACTTTTAGACAGGCCATTCACGTTCCGACTTGTGGTCCCACTTAGTAGGACTACTAGTTGGATGTTCGTCTCCACTCACGCTCCGACTTTCTATCCAACTAGCGGTCCAACTTCAGTTCTAGGTTGTTTTCACGATGGATGTATCGAATAAGCACTACGCAAAATATAATAATATGATATGTATGTTTAAAAATTAGGTTTCGTTTCTCTAGTTATTTGTCTAGGGCTGAACTAATTAATTTTTTCAACTCTTGATTTTTATGACTTTTTAAGATGTAGGAAAAAATTATAGTTTTTAAAGATTTGTATAGGTATAAAATTTATATTTTATTTGTTTTAAACTGGAGCTGGGATTTATTTTGTTGTGTGTGTGTCGTATATTTTTAATAGGAATAATTGTTCGTGCAATTGAAAGTTATTTTCTATTATTTTTTTGCGAACTAGGGATCTTTTGCTACAACTATGATTTAATTTTCATTGTTTGTTGATAATTCTTCCGTAGCCAATCCGGAGTATCGGAAATTTACCTGTATAGGAATGTCCGAAATAGATCTACAGAAAGGAAAATGATTTGCCCTAACAAAAAGGTAATTTTCGTGCAATTGAAAGTTTATTTTCTATTAAATATTCGCGAACTAGAGATCTTTGCGTAAAGTATTTCATAGAAATCTCATACGTAACAGGTGCCGAAAGTTAACTGACTGAGGAAATTTTCGATCCAACCTGTGATCCGACTTCCAACTTCACCATTCACGCTCCGACTTCGTCGCCAGTCGGAAGTCGGATCTTCAAGTCGTCCCACTAGTCGTATCACTAGTTGTCCAACTAATCCAACTAGCGCACTCACGGTCCGATTTCAGATGCAACTGCAGAAGTTGGACCACTAGTCGTACCACAAGTCGGAACGTGAATGGCCTGCATTAGTAGTAGCGTAAATAAAAATATTATTGTAATTAAAGATAAAAACATTATTTTGATTAAATAAATCTAACAGTTATAATTATTTAAATATAATATATTTATAATTGTACCTAATGAAATTATATTTTACAGTAATTATTTTTGCACTTTTCTGAATACTATCCTGTAACAAGGCAAAATATTAAAGAGGAACTATTAAAACAAATGTCATTTGATCTAAGCACAGTTCGGTACCACTTGTACCTCAATTGGTCTATCTCTTTAAAATTCTCAATTATCTGTAACCGAGCTATAAATCATCTTAACTTTGAGAGAGTAGTATTGCGTCATCTACATAGTAGATTATTTTGTTGTTTTTCTCCCATTTGGTATCCTTTTTTAGTTCTTACTTTTTTTATTTTTCATCCATAATTAGGTTGAGCAATAGAGGACTCATAATGAATTTTATAATAATCTCAGCAACAAATGTAATTTGACTTTATTTTTGCTGTTGTTTTAACGTGTTCAGGTACTCCATGATCTTCTTTTATGTCAAATTTCTCCATGAAAAATAACAAATTTTTTTATACAGAAGATAAAATTAGAATTTTTTATTTTAGTAACGCGTTGTCATTGATACAATGATTGTTTACGACAGAAAGTATAGATATAAAAGACAGAGAAAGAAAGTAATGTAGACATGAAGATTCTGATGCAATTTTTAGCAACTTTTTCGATTCAAATGAAGCTTATAAGCTGTTCTCTGCAATCCAGAAGGAAAATGAAATTCCTGTATTTAACTGTATACCATGAATAACAAAAGTTTTATTTAAAAATCATTTATAAAATGTATGTAATTAAAAATACCCTTTCGGGCTATATCACAGAACGTTTTCGAACTAAAAAGTTCATCATTAGTGTAATATTACCTGGTATACATAAGTCAAGTCACTAAATATCTCGCTAAAAACCCTTAAAAAGTTACCAAATTTGTTGTGTGTTACATTATTGTTAAAAATATGTTTTTATGTTAAAATATTTAACAGATCAGAACAGCATGGCAACGTAAGACTCCCAATAGGGGTTGTTGCTGACATTCAGACCTTGTCTGAATGAGTTTTAGTTGGCAACTAATCAAAATCGCAGAAAAACTGTCATTTTAATTAGTGACCATCTATAACCCATTCAGACAAGGTCTGAGGGTCAGTAACAACCCCTATTGGGAGTCTTACGTGGCCATGCAGGATATCTGTTAAATACTGTAACATCACAACATATTAATTACTATTAAACTGGGAATAAGCCACAATTAAAGATAAAAATACGTTTATTGACGTTTCAATTTCCACTTCGGAAATCGTTCTCAAAATACAAACAGTAACTTAACAGTAACTAAGTTACTGTTTGTATTTTGAGAACAATTTCCGAAGTGGAAATTGAAACGTCAATAAACGTATTTTTATCTTTAATTGTGGCTTATTCCCAGTTTAATAGTAATTAATTTACAATGCCACAAGAAAATAGCTTCAGAACAATATCACAACATATTGTAAACAATAGTACACAACAAATTTTGTAACTTTTTAAGAGTTTTTACCCAGATATTTAGTGGCTTGGCTCGTATAAAATATGCCTAATAATGGACTTTTTCGTCCGAAAATTTTCTGTGATGTAGCCCGAAAGGGTATTTTAATAATATACCTTTTATAAAGGATTTTTAAATAACACTTCCGATTTTTACAGTTTTGAAACATACTATTAACTTAAGATCACATTCTAAGTATTACAATTTAAAATTTTACATAGGTGTGCAAAATTAGATACTACTTAAACAATTGCATGATTAATTTGTCTGCTTTCTGCTTTTTTTCCAGGAAGAGTTAGGAGAATATCAAGTCTATTCAGCTTTACCTTACTTTACTTTTTGTAGTTCAAGACTGGCTTACTTATATTGTATTTTTTATCTAGCATTATTTAGTATATTTCAAAACTTAAAAATATTTTTTTTGTTCTTTTTCAGGCTATGGTTTCGTAGATTTTGAGAGTCCCGCCGCTGCCGAAGGTGCCGTGAAGGCTTTAACCGCGAAAAACATACAGGCTCAAATGGCGAAAGTGGGTATCTGGTATCAACACCGTAGAAAAGCCACTGTACGTTTGCATGCAAGTAATACTTAGCTTTACAATAAAAACTCCGTCACAATTCCGATTTAAAAGATGTGTGTCTAGTTAAAGAAATATCAAAGCGTTATTTAAAATTATGAAATATGCTTAGTTAAAGTTATTACAATACTATAGATCAGTGAAAGTTTCCTCAAACTCATCTTTTATTGGTTTGAAATTTCCGTTTATGACTTCAAGCTTTATCTTGTTTTCTCTTTATACTATCGTATAAAGGACATAACCTAACCTACTTATACTTTCATTACTATACCTAAGAGATTAACCCAAAACAATGCGATGATTACCAAACGGTTAGCCTGAAGCTTATAACAATATGACAGCCAATATATAATAATGCATTTACTACCTATAATATGTAATAGATGCGTCTTATCATAAATGCAGATTGTTAAGAGTGCCAGTCTCCGTCGGCCAAAAATTTTATGATATATACTCTCTCCAAACTTTGGATATCGCTTCGTTAGGCCGAGTCTGACACGATTTCCCTCTGCAACTTTTTTTGGTTCTGAGGCCTTTTTCCTTCTAATTTTCCCGAAATTTTTCATCGGAAAACAAGTTCTGTCAGACAATTTTTTTTAATTAAATAGCTTAAAAATTATAAGAAAAACACGAAAATAAAATTGTCTGATACCCCCTCTGTGGCTCAGTGGTAAGAGCGCCTACCTTTAAATCTAAATGTCGTGAGTTCGAATCTCATCTGGGTGGAAATTTTCGTTTATTAAAAATTAATAAATGAAAATAATTTCTATCCTTGTGTGATCGGTACTCACCAGAGGGACCGCAGACGTTCGGATACAATTAGCGTCTCTTAGCAAAGACAATGACGTCGACTTTGCTAAGTATCAAGACAATTACTCTACACACACACATACTACACTAGGTACCTGACTGTACCATGCCAATGATCATAGTTGTCGAGGCATTAACAAAAAAAAAAAAAAAAATCTGAAGCTGCCTCTGGTTAATGGGAGGTAGATTGTCAACTATCCTTCCATCTTTTAGGTGGTCTTCCGGGAGGTCTTGAACCAGGCGGTTGTTTCCTAGGGCAATTTTTGGGAGTCTATTCTCATCCATTCGTCTTACATTATTGTACCACATCCTCTTACGCTGCCTTCCCCATCTTACAATATCTTGAATTTTGTATTGCTCTGTAACGTTTGTATTTCTCACCCTGTCTCTTCTTGTTTTGCACACTATTCTTCTTAGGGTTTTCATTTCGGCAACCCTTAACATCTGTTTCGTTTTGTTGGTATCTTCGCGCACTTCTATGCTATTATGTCATGATCGGTCGTATGCGAGTCTTTTAGATTCTAATATTGCTACCTGTGCGCATATACGGATTTGACCAGATTATCTCCCGCAGACATCCTGACAATGCGTATGCTTTGTTGATCTGACTCCTTAGGTCCTTTCCTGGGTCGTGTGTGCTTACGTACATCTGGGCGGATCTTTTGCTATTGTCATGCATTTAGTTTTGTTGGTAGAAATGGTCATATTTAGTTGGCGGCTTATTTGGAAAAACTGAAAGAGCTGTCTCTAAAGATCATCTTCTGATTCGGCAATAATTACTGCATCATCTGCGTAACACACCATACCAATTCTTTTGGTGCCCATTCTGTATCCGAGATTGAGAGATGCTACTTTGTTTATAATTTTGCCCATGAGTAGGTTAAACAAGGACGGACTTATACTGTCGCCTTGTCTAATTCCTCCCGGTGTTGGAATATATTCAGTGAATTGGTCTCCTGCTCTAAGTTTGGTTACATTGTTGTTATTTAGGTTATGGACTATCTTTGTTATGTTATTTGGTGTTTTATTTTCTATTAATATATTTAGAATGTCTCCCATGCGAACCCTGTCAAACGCGTTCGTCAGATCAATGAAGCAAATATACGCTGGCATGCCGAATTCTATAGCTTTTTCTTTTATTTGTTTTATTATGAATACTGTATCTGTTATAGACCGCCCTATTCTAAAACCTCGTTGTTCATGTTCTTCAGCATTAGTGATTTGCCTTTCCAATTTGCCCTGAATACTCGTGAAAAGTTTCATTGTTGTATTTAAGAGGGTTATTCCTCTGCAGTTTTGTGGGCAAGTTTTTGTCCTTTTTTAAATATGGATGTCCTATGTTTTTTTCCTGTTCCGAACCATTTTCCATACTTTCTTTTGGGCACCATGTAGGTCGTAGTCCATGTCGCTGGTGAATTTAGCCCAGTGTTCTCTTTTGATTGATTTTATTCTTGCGTTTACTTCTTTTCGTACTTGGACATATTCTGCGAGAGCTTCTTCCAATTGTGTGCTTTTACATCTCAAGTAGCCTTTGCGTTTTAATTCAGAGAGTTATTTTACCTCTTGACAAAACCACGGTTTGTACTCTATACAAGGAGTTTTGTACTCTCTGTTGGTAGCGACTCTATATTGTGTTTTTCGATGAGCATTGGAGGTTTTCTCCGTTTTCTCGTTGCGGACTTTCTAGTAGGATCTTTCATAAAACAAGGTTGTGATCGGTCCCCAGGTTAGCAGATGTTAGGGATCTGACATCAAGTACTTGTGACGGTGTTATCACTTAATTTGTGATTATAAAATCTATCATTTATCGCTGGCTTCGATTATTGTTAAAAGTGCATTTATGTTGGTTTTTATGAGGAAAGTATGTGTTGTTGAGCAGCAAAAATAACTTTTCATATTGTCTGGCGGAACTTGTTATTCGATTTTTCTGTCTGACAAGTGAAAATTTTCGTTAAAATTAGAGGAAAAACTCTTCAGAACCTAGAAAAGTCACAGGGAGAAATGAAGCGATGTCCAAAGTTTAGAGAGAGTTTCTATCATATTTTTGCTGACGGGCACTCTTAACTACTACGAGTATTGCTCTGATGAAATAAAAGCCAAATATTATTTGGAAAGAATTTTTTCCAAACCTGTTGCAATAATTGCGTCAACAGCGTTATTTCCCGAAGATAATTAACAATAAAATTATATTATTATATTGCTAACTGTTATAAACTATAGAGATTATTGACAAAAAATTGTCCAATTATCGTAATTATAAACAAATTTTATCAAAGGGTTACTACAAGTTTTCTACCAAAAAGAAATCTTTTCTTTGTGCGTATTACACTTAATATGAATACACGAGGTTGTGCGCTACTCATGCGTTTTATAAAAATTTCTATAACTTTTTGATAATTCAGTTTGGAAATCTGAAACTTTCCAAAAACTTTTTTAGATATTAAGTTTTAATTTAGAATTAATTAAAAAGAAATATTAAAAAATGTGTAACAAAGTTTTAATTAAAAAAATTACTCGACGAGTAGCATATGATTTTTTCAAAAAATCGTGATTTTGCTTATAATCAAAATTAGGAGGTTGAACATATCCCATTTTTTGTGTTAATATCCATAGTATATTGTATCAAAACTATAAATCGAAATATTTAAACCGAGACGAGATATCATAAGTTAAATATAAAATTTCATTAAAATTATAAAATCAAAATTTTTTCTTTTTATTTATTTATTTTCATGGTCTCCCTCTTCAATAAAAAAATGTTTCTTAGATAAGTTATATAGATTTTCATTATGTTTTGCTATCAAATTTGGCCAGTAGCTAGAGAGTTATGGATTTATCGAAAATTAAATCACTTTTTGTGTGTTCGCCGCTCGCCTATACAAGGTTTATCTTTTTAGTTTTACATATAGCCGCTTAGAGGGCGCCGTCAATAAAACCTTCCGACACAAATATAACCTCAATCTTTTGTTGACATAAATCGAGAATTTCATTGCGATATAACAAGTCTTGTAGATACAGTGAATTTTTGAAATTAACAAGTGAGCAAATCAGGATCCGCCTACTTCGCTGCTAGGTGTTCTCGGTCTTAATTTATGGTGTCGAGTCCTGGATCTAAATCGCCTTGAGGCTTTCTAAATGTGGTGCTATAGAAGAATTTTAAAAGTTTCCTGGGTGGAGAATATTCGAAACTCCACAATACTAGAACGTCTCAGCAAGACTACTGAGATCAAAAAAAGCATCAAGCAGAGAAAGCTGGAGTATTTCGGACATGTAATGAGAGGTCCCAAATATAGGTTGCTACAAAATATCATGCAAGGAAAAATAGTATGAAACACAATCCAGGACGAAGAAGAACCTCATGGTTGAAGAACTTGCGAAATTGGTATGGTGTTGATACAAGCATGTTATTTGGAGTGGCAGTGAATAAAATTAAGATAGTTATGATGGTAACCAACTTTCTGAAAAGACGTGGTACATGAAGAAGAAGAAGTCAGCCGAAAAATAGATCTTAGCCGAGAACATTTTCGAGCAATAATTTTTTTCAATTTTCGGAAAGAAATATCCCAACAGCAATGTCTCGCTGAAATGGTTTCTGTGTTTGGGAATTAAGCGTCACACCAGTCAACTATTTGCACCTGGTATTGCAAATTTCAACGTGGTCGCTCCAGTCTCAGCCACGAATCCAGATTAGGTCCACCCAAAACAGCAGTCACACAGCAAAACATTTATGCGGTTTGTCAGCTAATAAAGGATGACTGCCGTGTAACATACCGGGAGATAGTGGCATCTTTAGGCATTTCCAAGACCTTGATGCAAAAGATCCTACAGGAAAAACTGGGTGTTGCGAAGTTGGGCTCTCGTTGGATCCCTCATTTGCTCACAGAAAGGGAAAAAGCGGTTCGCATCAATTAGTGTCAAAAAACATTGTAACGGTTCAACAAAGAAAGCTCAAAAAACGGGTATAATATTGTTATTGACTATGAATCTTGAAATTACTCATACTAACCGGAAATTAAACGTCAATTCTCTGTGTGGGTGTTTCACGATGAGGAAAAACCAACAAAAGTGATCCGTTCTCAAAGTGTGTTAAAGAAAATCGTCGCAACTTTTGTGTCAAAATCTGGTCATGTGGCAACACTTGCTTTAGAAGATCGAAGAACGGTCACTACTGATTGATA